GAGCCAGGTTTGATCGCTGTGGCGCTGTCTGTGTGCTCGGACTCCGGCTGGGTTCTCAGGCCAGCCAGCCTTCGGCAGCCATCCCCGCCGTGCCCCGTCCCTCCGCAGGCTCCGGGCTGCAGATAAAAGCGCTCCACGCAGGGACTCGCATCGCGTTACGCAGCTTCAAAGCCTGGATGCAGGGCGAGCCAGTGGCCTGGGGATGATGATGCGATGCCCACGGTGTGATTAAAGGTGCGTTTGGGGTTTGTCTTCTTGTCACTTCGCTCTCGGTATCACCTGTTCGGCCCATGGATGCGTTACAGTCAGACATAAACCAGCGCAGAGCTGAAGCCGAGACGTGCGGAGGACAAAGGGACGGATGGAGCTGTAGGTGCCGTACCTTATAAATATTCCTGGTATGTTAAAGGAGGAAAAAAAATGTTGATTTCTTTATAGAGCAGCCACACTTTCTACAGCTCTCAGGATGCTTCAGTTTTATCAGAGCACACTGAGAACTGTGGCGATGTCTCAGTGGTTGGACCATGTTGTAAGTCGCAGCTAGTAGATGAGACGGGTTTATAGGAAGTGGCTGTGTCTGCTGGCAGGTGACAGATGCATCAGCTGAGGCTCGTTATCCATGAAGCCTGCTGTGAGCTGCACAGGTCTGCATGGGTAGCTTCTCTCACTCTGGGCTCTGCTTTTAGATCAGGCCACAGCATCAGATCCACACACAGCAGTAGATCTCTCGTGCTTTGATCATTGTGTAACTTTAGGACAGCTTTATGTCAGGAATGGATCATAGCAGGTCTGTAATGACACTGCTTTTCTTTGTGGGGGGTGCGGTCTGTGTCCAGTGTCCACATCTGAACCAGTTCCTTATGAGCTGGAGGTTGACTTATTAAAAGTGTGTACAGTCTTCCAGGAAAGAGACCGATGAGGGACTGATGGACACATTTGAACCTGACAGTCCTTTTCCACTGTTTTCCCAGGTACGTCAGCATCGTGATCCATGGCTGTGCTGTGTGTGTCCGAGCAGATTGTGATCCGAGAGAAGATTGAATGCCTCTAAAATCTCAAGGTAAGACACCCCCTCCCTTCTTTGACCTTGTGTGTGTGTGTGTGTGTGTGTGTGTTTGTGTATATCTGTGAGTTAGTTGCGTTCAAATTGATCCATGGCCTTGAGCGCCGCTCCCTGCCTCACTTTTCTTCTCCTTAATTGTCTCCTTCATCTCGACTTCTATTACTCAGTACCAAACATCTATCTCATTAGCGTAAAAGCACATTTCCCTGTTTGAAAGCATACGTGGAATTTCACTTGTGTACATTTTATACATGCACACACTCTGTTTAGGACACAAACATCTGTGACGTGTTTTTCTGCATGACAGGGGTTAATAACTTTTCATAGGCTTAATTAGACAAATTGCTTTGGGGGTGGAAGCAAACAGGGGCAGCTGAACCATCTCAATAAGCTGTTGTTTTTTACTACAATATGAGCTAAAAACAGGTTTTCCCAGCTCTGTGAGGCCGAAGAATTGGATGCAATTGGACGGGTCTGCTGTGTTTCTATGTTTACATGTTTGCTCGCTGCAGGCCGTGAACTTTCATGGTTCAGCTGCAGTTTACCTTTAGTTTAAACTTAAAATAAATTCAGCTCCAGGCCGTCTGACAAGCTGTCTCTGAGTCAGCAGTTGACCCTGCCTGACAGGGGTCAGCGTGCGTGATGTGTTAGTCCTGTTAACACTTATGGATGTATCCTGTACTGTTCAAAAGAACAGTCGTCTGCACGTTTATTGTGTTGTTGTACTTTCTGCGTCCTGGGGAAAGAGTACGATCAGTGAGAAATAAAGAAATATGAAAACAATGGAATATGCATGCTCTATGGGAATAATAAGAGGAAGGCTATAGACAAAGCCAGTGTGGTTTACTATGTATTTATGTTACAGTACCTATGAGAAGCAGTTTGTCTATTCAGGTATAATGTCAGTGCATTCTGGCAAGTTTTGGGAAGTAAAGTTGTCTTTGTTAGCCTTAACTTCCCACTTTGACCATTTTATAGCTGGTGTCATACTAATGTGCCTTATAGCTCTTTCACTTTCATCTCCCTGTTTTGTTTACCAAGCAGGTGCAGGCTGAAAGCATATACGATAATGGGCAGTGCAACTCTAACAAACGTTCCTGATGACGGTGTAAGAGACTCACAGGCATTAATTTGGTTTTAACTGCTTTTGATTGGCTGCTAGACTAAAAACATTCTTCATATAGCTTTGATCAGAGGCCTTTATGTTGTAGCATTTATTGATATTTTAGACCGTGGTGTGTTGTTAACTTTGTGGCAGCAGTTACTTTAATGACGAGAGAGGTTGTGTCCTACATGTTGTATTGTGATGGGGAAGCATTTATGCAGACCGTAAGGCTACAGTTATGGTTATTTTAAATACGATCTTTGAAATTAAGATTTTGCTAAAAATAAAATATGCATTCAATTTTGTTAGGTACACCATGCTACTACAAGGCTGAACCCTGTTTTGTCTTCTGACCTGGCATCATTCATCATGATGTAGATTCAAAAAGGTGCTGGAAACGTTCCTCTGAGATATTTTGGTCCATATTGACATGATAGCGTCACACAGCTGCTGGTGAACAGGCTAGAAGCATGGCAAGAAAATATCCCCCACACCATTACACCACCACCACCTGAAGCATGGATACAAGGCGGGGTCGATCAGAGTTTTAATGTAATTATGTCAATTTGAACTTGGGGACACTCATATGGACCCTGCTACTCAAGGTAACCATATTGTTGCAGGCATTTAGTGATCTCAGAGAAAAGACTCCCATAAACTAGTATTCATTATTGGCTTCCTCTTTAATAACCTCTGTGTGTGTGCCTCCTGCAGCTTGGGCATGTAAAGTGTGTCTTCTAGAGCAAACATATGTATTTATAGCTGTTCGTTTTAACAAAATGTCTGAATTGCTCCTTCCTGACACAATCCTTTTTTAATCTTTATGTCATTGTTCCTCTTTTGTTTCACCTAATGATAAACATTTACCATATTCGGGGAAGATATTAATGTTTCACAGTGAAGATCATGTAATGTTTGCAGGGAACAACAGTAAGCTATATGAGTCTCACTCTGCAGTGTAAGCAGATGAGTGGTGGGGTTGGAAACGTCAGGTTATGTAAAAGTCATGCCTCTGCAAAGTGTTTGTATGTATAGTCATCTCTCAGCACCAACTGTTTACTGCAGTGTGAGCAATGTTTTTAGCAATATATGCAGTCAAATGGAAGTCACCGACTGACTTTTAAGGATAGATCAGGAGCAGTGACAAACTATTTCTTCGCCCTCTTTGGCACCCCACCAGGTGGTGACACCTTAGGCAACTTTCATACATGGCCTGAGCCAAAACTGTCCCCAGCACGACTTGATTGCAACCGAGTGCGATCAAATTCCTGCAGCCAGGTTCCAAAATAGTTCACAATTATTTTTCAAGTAATATTCAAATGTTAAATTTCCTCACTTCAAATCCACCTCTGTGGTTTGACGTGTGGAGAAGAAAATGCAAATTAGCAACTGATAAGTTCTACAGAAATTTGCGTTTCCTTACGAAATCTTGTGGACTAATTTAAAATTAAACTGTCATCAACTGACTGTAAAACTTTCTGTCTTCCTTCCTCTCTCTTTATTTATATAAATTACAATTTTATAAAAGCACTCAATGACAAAGCAACATACTGGGCTGCACAATGATTTACTGCAGCTGGAAAAATAATTCACTCTGGCGAAGATGCATGAATTTCTCTTTGCACTAAACAAGAGCGAGAGTAATGGATGGTGCTTTCCTCTTGTCGTAACTATCTTGACAAACAGGAAGTTCGATTTAGAGAGAAAGGAGGAAGTCTGTGTTAGTTTGATCACACAGAGAGATTTTACCACACGGAAAACACACTTGATATTGCCACACTGCGCTTGTCATGAAAGCCCTGTACATGTCCGGCCTGGAAATTGCAGTGCAGTTTTAAAGTGTAGGGTCTCATATATACACCTGGACTTTACCCGTAACTGTTAATTGTTCATGACCTGCTTGAAACATGAGTTTGTAACTTGTGTTTGTCATGGCATGTCATGAGCCAAGGACCGTCCCGGTGATGTTCCATATTTTACATACGCCATTCATTCATGGTTCAAAAACGAGGAGGCTGTAATCTGTTCCTTCATTACTGTGAACACGGGCATTGTAGTTTGCTTTGACTCAACCCCGCTTAACTTTAAATACTCACTTCACATCACCAAATGTGTATTAATCCGGGGCTGAAAATAATCCCCAACAAATACTGTCTAATGACAGTTTGCTAAAAGCACTTTGTCATTTCCGCATGAAGTTATGACATGATCGTATCTGCAGTGGTCTGGTTTTTCTTTCACGCAATCTTCGCAGAACATGGCTCAACTTATTACAGGTGGATTTTTGAGAGATTTCTCCTGTCAAGCCTGATTTTAAACTGCCTGTCACAGCACAATGTAATGGCTGAATTGTGGGTGTCCTACTTAAGAATGAGAAATGGAGCTTTTCAGCTGCTGACAACTCATGAGGGTATTGCAGGCTCTCATT